GTAACTAGCTCATGTGCTTGAGGCAAGGTTTCTCAGCCTTGACACTACTAACATTCAGCACTAGATAATGTTTGCTGTAGGAGCTGTTCTATGCATTGTAGCCTGTTTACCAGCATCCCAGGCCTTTACCCACTAGATGCCAGTAGCTCCCCACTCTCCTCCAGTTGTGACAATAAAACATGTCTCCAGACATTGCCAAATGTCTGCTGGAGGACAGAGTCACCCGTGGCTTAGAACCACAAGGTTAAGTGTAAAAGAGGCACTTGCTATATACAAAATGCTATGTGAATCTTGGTGAAGAAGTAAACTTGCACCAGGAAAATAATGTGATAAACAAGTCACTCCAACTTTCTGTAACAACATTTGCAAGGCGTAATGCATGTATTACCCAATGCAGAAACATAAATTCACATGTTTAGAATTACCTTATTTTGTTATTCTGCCTAGAAAGTTCCCCAATGGCATGCCATCTGTGCTTGAAGTATTTATTTATTTATTTTTAACGTGATGCCTGTGTGAAAGGGTTTTCAAACCCTGACCATGGCAGAGACTGAGAAAAAGCTAAGAGTTTGGGAAACACATTCTGCAGTTCCCTCCTTGGAGTCTGGCCCTGTGTATTTTCTTTAGATGTGGTACCTGTAAGCCTCAGATGCAATAGTAGCCTCTCCTGTCATGGGTTAAGCAGGGGTTTCCTGTAAATTCATCTGGTATATATTTGGACTTGAGAAGAGCTTATTTCAGAATACCAGAATTAGCGGATCAAGACAGTATGCTGCGTCTGTACTTCCCAGAACATTTTCATTTCTAAATGACTCTCTGACTTGAGTGGCAGTCTTGGAACTTACTGGGAAGTATGAAATGTAATTCTTGTTTGATGGATAGGATTAGAGCAGATAGAACAAAAATGCATTAAATTTTCCCGCAAGGGTTCCTTTCGCTAGTATCAGTTTACTTGGCTTGCTTTCTTTATGTTTCTGTTCTCTGTTTTCCCCATAGAATTTCCTGCAAACTTTGCCTGTCAATCCAATCTTTATTGCTTTCATTTTTAATACTCCAATTGGCGCATTTTACAAAATAGACCAGCCATGCTAAAATGTAATGTGTGGTTTGCTCTGTCTGTATAAGAAGCTGACCCTGGATTTCTACCAGAAGTTAAACCACTGCACGGTGTATGAGGAAGACTATTTGTTGAGTGGCCTTGGGTGCCTCCTGTGTCTTGATGAGCCCCAAATACCGTTCACTGCCTCACAAATAAGATCTGTCGAGATAAGACCTGGAAGGAATTTTCAAATGCAAACCATGAGTTTCATAGAAAAGGACTGTTTTTTTCTAGTTTCTAAGGCCCCTGCATGCTTAGAAAGCAGGCATATTAGTTAAGCTTCCACTTAGCATTTAATATGTGATGCTGGACCATCTTCTCTGGGCTCTCGTTCCTCAGCTCTCATTCCTTCTTTCAGGGACCCTTCTTCTATGGTCCTGCCACCTTGGCATTGATCATCCTGTATGGTAATCACTATTGAATTCCATAAGCTGCTCTGCATTTATTCTTTCATTCAACATAGACTTATTAAGTATCTCCTATCTCCCAGGCTCTGTTCTAGGCAACAAGACAGATATACTCTCAACCCCCTTGAAGGTGACATTCTAAAATGAGAAATAGAACAAATACATTGTATTAGTCAGCTCAGGCTGCCACAATAAAGTGGCTGGATTGATTTGGTGGCTTAAACAACAAAAATTTATCTTTTCACAGTTCTGAATGGTAAAATTCAAGATCAGTACAGCCGATTCTGGTAAGGGCTCTCTTCCCCTGGATTGTAGATGGCTGCTATCTTGTTTGTTTGTTTTTTGAGAAAAGATCTCACTGTTGCCCAGCTGACATTCAATAGCACAGTCCTGGCTCACTGCAGCCTCGACCTCCTGGACTTAAGTGATCCTCCCCCTTCACCTCCCATGTAGAAGGGAATACAGACATGCATCACCATGCCCAGCTAATTTTTGTATTTTTGTGGAGGGGGGTTCTCGTCATGTTGCTCAGTCTGGTCTCAAACTCCTGGGGCTGCTATCTTGTTATGTCCTTACACGGCCTTTCCTCCGTATGTGCATGTGAGAGCCTGAGTGATCTCTCCGATGTATCTTCTTAAAAGAACACTAATCCTATTTTATTAAGGCCCCACCCTTATGTCCTTATTTAACCCCAGTTACTTTCTTAGATACCCAGTCTCAAAATGCAGCCACAGTAGGGGTTAGAGCTTTAGCATGTAAATTTAGGGGGCACACAAACATTCAGTCCATAACATATGAAAAGGATTTTTTAAATTACTACTTCAGATACTGATAAGAGAATTATAGAAATAAATCAAGAGAAAAAGGGATAGAGAACAATTGGGGCAGGCATGGCAGTTGCTAATTTATCTACAATCCTCTCTGAAAAAGGGACAGTTGAGTGAGACCAAAAATGAAAAGAGGCAGCCTTATAAAGCTTTGGAGGAGTGAGCATTTTAGGTAGAGAGAATTTTAAGTTCAGTGTAGAGATAAGAGTGAGAATGATATCACAGGACAGAAGGAAGTCAGTTTGGTTGAATCCTAGCCGGCTATGGAGAAAGGGTTAAGAAAACAATATCATAGAAGTAGGCAATAGCCTGATTGTGCTAGCCAGTACAAGGAGTGAACATTTTGTTCTCATTGTAATGGAAAGCCTTAGGAGAGTTTTAGGCTGATTAATACACAAATACAGTACAATTTAAATGACTAAATAGAGAAACTCAAAGGGGTATTTTAGAGACTTACACATCTTTGTTAGACATAGTAAATGTTCAATAATTTTTTAAAGTGGAAAGATGAATGTAACTTATATAATAACCTTTTTTTAAAAATCAGGTTTATTATATATAATTTGTATACAGTATATTCATTCTCTTTAGTGTACAGTTCTGTGATTCTGATAAACACACACAATCATGGAACCACCACCGCAATCAAGATCTGGAACAGATATCTCCCCTCCTCAAATTTCCTCATGTTTATTTGGAATCAAACCCTTCCTCCAACCCTGTATAGTTTTGCCTTTTCCCTAGTGTGATATAAATAAAATTATATAGTATATACCCTTTTGAGTTTGACTTCTTCCATTTACCAAAATTTACTTGAGATTGATCATGTTGAATAGTTTCAGTAGTTATTTTTCTTTTATTGCTAAGTAGTATTCCATTGTATGGATGTGCCATAGTTTGATTATTAATCCAGAGGAAAGGACATTTGGGTTGTTTCCAGGTTGGGTCAAGCATGAATAAAGCCTTTATAAACATTTGGATTAAAGTTTTTCCGTAAACGAAAGTTTATTTATCTTTGGTTAGTATGGAAAAGTGGGATTGCTGGGCCATAGGGAATGCATATGTTTAACTTTAAAAGAAACTGCCAAGCTGTTTTCAAAAATAGGTGTAATGTTTTGCTTTTCCACTAACATTGAAGGAGAATTCCACTTTCTCTGCATCCTTGTCAGCTGTTAGTATTGTCTTTCTTTAAAAAAAAAAAAAACTTTGCATTTTCTCTTTTTGTCATTCTATCAGGTATATAGTGAGTGACTTCTTTTTAAACATCACAATTATAAATTTAAGGGTCTGGTGAGTATGGATAGTAAGAACGTAATGTACAATGGGGTAACTTTTGCATCTTCACTATTTTTTTAACCCATAAGAGTATGATCTTATCAAATCATTGTTAAGAGTTAAAGGACATTTAAGACTATAATTTTAGTACATTTAAGGCCATATCTTTACTTGAAGACTTTTATAGGAATTAAGTTTGAAGAATTTACTCCTTGAATTCTGACAACCTTGAATTCTAGACCTTCCTTATTTAATGGGAGTCTCATGGAATGCTTTCTTAGAAAGATAACTCATGAAAATCTCTACTTAAAATATCAGTGACCCCTGAGGTGGGACGAAGTCTTTGTCCCCCAGATTCCAAGCTCAGTCATACTATTTAAAGAAAAAAAAAAAAAATAGTAATTGAGTTTTGCCAAAAGTACAATACAGTGAAGAATTGTACCATCATTTCTCACATGCATTTTTCCAATCTCTCCTCGCATCACTGACATATTCCATCTCAGGGAACCTGGCTTCGTCTGTTCTGTGGTCGGCCACTCTACCTTTTCACTTACCAGTAAGACACGAGGGAAACATAAAATTCTGCTGAAGAATTTGAGCATTCAGTAACTCATGGACTCTACAGTATAGCCTGGGTAGAAATGGAGATTTCACTGATTTTCATATCCAGGAGCTACCCTTTAATAGATCTCCAGAAGAATCATCCCTCCTCTGATTTGTGAATTCCTGATCTTGTCTAGTAGCATTCTACAATTGTTCAATGAAGGGCTCTGGAGGACTAGAAAATTCAGTGCTTTTTGCAGAGTTTATAGGAGCATGTCATATAGGTTCAGTGTCTCTACCAGTGCCTTGACTTAATCCAGAAAACATTCCTATTCCAACCTAGATACAAATTGTCCTCTTGCTTCTGTTTTCATGGAGAAAGTGTTTTCTGCATGAGGGCATGGACCTATACCTAACACAAAATATCAAGAACTTTCTAGGGACTGATATTTATTTCCTGACTGAAGACATAGATGCAGTTCCTGTATTTGTAACATCAGTCACCTTTACAAAGTGTGGTGCTTTCATTTTGTCTTTCTTTCAAAGCCTTTTAAACAACACTCATGGCTTGTCTCCTCCTCTTGGTTGGAGACAGTATTAAATTTACCTGGCATAAGAGAGATTTTGTGCAGCTAATTTCATAATATGACTCAAAGTCATTTCATTCAGAGCTACTTATTTCTCTTGGTAGAATCAATAATGTACATTTCCTGGACGTTTCTGTTAACAGTTGGTGGAAAAACATGCGGGTGGAAATTTGTCTTTCCCAGAGGTGCTTGGTAGCATTTGTTTGGAGGCCAGGCATGTAGCAGCTTCATGAATCTTCTTTTTTTTGTTTTCTGTTTGCAGATTTTATTCTTCACCGTACAGTATTGCAACCAACCGCATGATTCCACAGACATCTATCACACCATTCATTGCTGCTTCCCCTGTCTCCACATACCAGGTATGTCCGATTTACCTGCACTTTAGGAGATACCTTTCTTTCAGCAAGACACTATTTAGAGCCAAAAAGAACAACGTAGAATGAAAAGAAAAAAATTTCTCATAAACTTTAATCACATCTTAATGTAGTGACAACACAAGTTACGAGTTAGCATACTTTCAAGAGCCTGTTTGCATCAATTCACTGGATAATAAAATCCACTCTGCTTTTCATTCTTCCTGCTGAGTTTTCCTGATTACGCCACTTTCCAACCAACCTTAAGACAGTTCTTTCACCACTGGGAAATTATTTTGTTTGTTGTTTGTTATTTTGGTTGCTCGTGATCCCTATTGTGTCTTTCCTAAAAGCACATTTCTAGCAGTTCCTTCGCTCACTCCAGGATATTTTATCATTGTCATCTCATTTTGTCATGGTTGTCCTGGTAAAGCTACACAGATAGATGTTAAATCATACTTCCCAAGAAACAGAAGAAATTATCAAAGTGGTAAAACGTGGTTTCTAGTCCCTGCTCTTATTTTATTCTCAGTTCCCGAGAGACCAAAAGAGACCTCAGGGGTTCCACATGTTGAAATGCTGGAAAGTCTGAGACTGAAGGTGTATCCTCAACTAGATATTATAGCCAGTTAATTCCAAGTACATAAGTGGATTAAAATAGTTACACTTCTCCCTCAAACAATACTCCTTATTTTATTCCTCTGAGTTATTACGTATGTGATGTTAACCTCTTCTCTACCTAATATTGTTCTTCAAACAGTTCTTTCCAATTCTAATTAGAAAACACCTATATATATGCTGCATGTAGAAAGTGTCTAGTGTCATTTCTTAAAAGTTTAGAGAGAGAAAGAAAAAGAGAGAATGAAAGCGTGTGTATGCATGTGCTTGAATTTTGCAGATGGTGGTGGGGGTGGATGTTACATAATGGGTAAAACTCTAATGTTGCAGACTGCTACTAATTCAGTGTAGTTTTACCTTGTTCAGCCACTATATACTTCATTTCAGGATATCCCAGTTGTCAGAGAATCAAACTTAAGACTATGTGCACTTTTCCTTAACTGATTCCCCTGAAGCAGATCATTTTCATTCTTTTTCTGCACTCAGATTCTTGAAACATGTCCGTGGGCAAATGGAATAGATTTTCATTTGAATTGCATTAGAGGGTCTCTGAATGGCTGATTTCTTAATTGCCTTTCCTTGAGGCCCATGAGGCTATGTGCAGGTGCTGTTCAGTTTTTGTTCTTCCTGCAGGCCTGCCTGGTTGTAGTGTGTGTGTGTGTGTGTGTGTGTGTGTGTGTGTGTGTGTGTGTGTGTGTGTATTTCCTTTTTTTTTTTTCCCTAATCTTGGCCTCTGTTCAAGCCAAGACCACCCATTAAGCCACAGTATAGAGCACTTTGGTGACATGAATAAAATATTCACAGAAGTATGATTTTACTTGGGAGGGCTCATAAATGGAATTTAACTCTAGCTCCCTTTTCTCAAAAGAAGAGTTTACAGCAATGCTCTATGTTGTCGATTCTCACCTTTCACCAGTTTTTTTTTCAATCCAAAGTGTATTAGCAATTCTGTCTGTGTGAGTATATATATATATATATATATATATATATATATATATAAAATCTGAGCTCTCCATGTGACATTCAGCTTATATAGGCCCCTTTCATTTGGCTGACACATGGTACATTTAAGAATAGTTGGCTGGCTGATATGCTCATTTTTATTTGTTACACCAATTACCCATGAGAGAAAATAATTACAAACTTGCTTGAGTTAAACCTAAATAACTCCCCCAAATTTTTGGTTTATCTCTTTAGCTCTTCCCACAACTTTTACCACTTGGACATATTTCTAAAATGGGATCACTTGAGCACTTGGAGTTACAAGAGATGACAGAAAAAAAGTCTTAGCAATCAACTCTTGCTTCCTTCATTACTTGTCAGGACATCCCTGAGAGTTGATCTTCAAATGGCCTCTGAGGCCTCCTAAAACTTTAGCCTTCACTATCAACCTCAAAATATGCTCCAAGACCCAGCCCGGTCCATGTGGGCACTGAAGTTAGCTCCACTGAGATGGGAAGTTGCTTTACCTTTTACCATGTTTCAGGGACCAGTTTAATGAAATCCAAGACTTCCCTTTTTGCCCTTAGTTTTGAGGACGAATTAACTGTAAAGTCAGATGGACTCCACTTTCTTATGACCTAGTGTGACTCCACTGAACACAAGAACCACGTTCTCTCTATGATTACTTTGTGCTAATAAATGCTGTTTGATGCATAGGTCCAGAGTACTTCATGGATGCCTCATCCGCCATACGTTATGCAACCAACAGTAAGTGTTCTCAGTCACCTGAGGCTAATATTTCTATTATCCGAGTACAAGCTTTTGGAATGCGTAGAAGCTTTGGGGTAAAGCTTTTGTTATATTATGTAACTCGTTCAGGCAGCCGTATGCTCCAGATAAAAAGCTGTTCCTGAAATTCTACAAAAGCATGTACAATAGGTAGCTAGAGACAGACATAACATAGAATTAGATAAAAAGAAAGGGTGAAAAAGCAAGAGAGTGAGAGTGAGTGTGTGGAAACATTATTGGAAGAAATAGCAATCAACCACTCAAGCTGAGTCTGCCATTTCTTATGCATGAGAAATTTCTGCTTTATGCAGGAACTCAGAACTCAGGACAATTACATGTATTCTACAAGGAAACTCTTTCTGTTTCCCTTCTCTTTCTGATACGCTTCTCTTTCTTGACAGTCTGATATGCTTTAGGGACAATCTGGAGTATCATGGCCAAGTTTTGATATGAAGCATATGTTTCAAATATGAAAGTAGTTGTCTGCTAATAGACGAAGTTATATAGATAGATGGCAAAGTGTGTAAATATTTTATGTTGATAACTATAGCAATTCTCTTTTTCTTTAGCAAAAACTTTCTCCCTGAAAAATATTCAAACTCTACTTTCTACTTGCTAGATTTCCCATTTTGTGGCACAATATTACCTCAATTCCAAGTAAAAAGTATGACATATGACATTAGAATCTAGGCTGAAGGCTAATGATTGCATTTATCTTTGTCTGGGTCTTCTGGGTTTTCTAGCTCTGTAGAAGTGCGAGATAGAGATTTCAATAGCAACAAACTCATGAGAGTGTGAGGCAGGGGAAAGAGCCCTAGACCGGAAGTTGTGTGACAAGGTCTCTGGAGACTCTTCTGGGCATGCTCACACCTGTGCATTTGTTTCCTTTTCTGACACTATATACTTAGTAGTGCTTTTGTGAGGATCAAATGAGAGAACATATGTAAAGAGAATGTAAAGTTTAGCATGCTATGCACTATTTTCATTGCCCTCATTATTATTGAATGTGTTCATTATACAAGAAAGTGGCAGTGCTAAATTTTAACTCCTTTAGAAGATACATGTAAATAAGGTAGTATATATTAAAGACCAGGGAGCTAGATACACAGGCATCCTTTTCTTGGACTCAAAGAATTAGAGAATCTGCTTTTCACATTTGAGCTGTGCTCATTTTCTTTTTTAAATAAGGAAGCTTCCATGTTGCTCCAAACATTTTGATAGTTTGTTTTTTATTTAAAGAATAAAATATATGTAGTTAACACAGCAGAACTTTGTGTCATATTTTGTAAATCCCCATATTTACTATTATTTACGCACCTTGAGGGCTTTCTGAGTTCATCTGGTCTATGGCCTATAATTCATACCAATATGCAACACATCCAGGCTTCACTTTTCTGTCCAAGTCATAAGGTAAATTCAGGATGTGCTGCCAAACCAATACATAGCATAGCAGAGACCAATCCAACAGAGGAAAAGGAAAGGAGCCCTGCCAGATTCTCGAGAGGAGACTTTCTGGAAGGAAACAAACCACCTTCTAAAAAATGTGTTCATCCATAAAGCACTAATGCTAACTTAGTCTTCATATTGAGTTTTAACATCATCTCTTTGTGGCCAAAAGGAGTGCACATCTGGCAAAATATGAATATTTTACCAGATGTCAAACTATGTAAGATTCTCCAGTACTTCCAGATCTATTAGGGGCAGGGAAGATGGTTGTGTGGGACTGTTTCAGCTGTCACCCGGGGCCGTAACAAAGGTTTTCACACTCCTCCTTTTCTACCCCAGTATAGCTTCGGCAGGGAAGATGGTTGTATGGGACTGTTTCAGCTGTCATTCAGGACCTTAACAAAGTTCTTCATATTCCTCCTTTTCTACCCCAGTATAGCTTCAGCTTCATGTTTGCATGTGTTATTTCTGTGTGTGTATTATTAGTGTGTGTGTGTGCACGTGTGTGTACTTTAATTTGTCCCTTTAGATTTTCCTTGCTGTGACTATTACGCAGAGCTGATACCATTTTCACTTCCCATGACTAGATTATGCATCATGCTTCAGCTTAGGCCACTAAGTTTAAATGTAATCTTTATGGCTGGGGTGGATTCCTGGAAAAAAAGAAGTGGCTGGGCCACCCATCACTTTGCTGTGTTTTACATGGAGTAAAGGGCTAAACAGTCTCATGAAAATACAGAGTTTCTACCATCAGACTTTGCCCTGTAATAATCTTGCTGTTTGTCCATATCACAGAAGTAACTTTACCCCACTGCCTTTAATTTTATCAAAGTGTGGGTAAATTACTCTATGATACTAAAATGTAAAATATGAAACTAAAATATAAAAATATTTAAGCCATCTAATACTACAAATCTAAGACTACAAAAAACCTGAATCTGAGAAGAATTAATGAGGAACTGGATGATTAACAGCATGGATTCTTGGTTGAGCTCATTAGGATAGGAAACCCTTCTTATCAGTGCGGTATTGAATGATTTACTTAAACGTTCTGGGCTACAGTTTTCTCATTTGTAACATGGACATAATAATACATAAATAATTATGTTTTGTTCATTAAATGAAATAATGCATTAAAACTCTTAAAATAGTTTCTGGAAGATGGCAAACAATAAATTATTATTATTATTTGGTTGTATTAGTAGACTTCTCATTATGCTTTAAATTATCCCAGTTTTATCTAATGAGCGTTGTTATAAGAACAAAGTTGAAAATAAGCAGCTTTGTTGAGAATCATCTATTTCTTCCACGTTCATAGTGCTCATTACCTTACTTCGCTAATGAGTTGGGTGGAGAAAGACTGGTTATAAACAAGACAGATTGCTTAGAATTGTACTTATTTCACTTAATTTCTAAACATTCAACACCTAATACTGAAAAAAAAATGCATTGAGACTCTCTTTATTCAGTAACTGGAGACCACTTTACAAATAGATTCAAAGTATCAAAATCTGTATCTCAAAGATATTGCCCATAATTCCAATTTTCTTGCAACTTTTCTTCTCTATCACATTTTCTCTTTCCTCATTTTATGGTAATTTCATGCATGAGCTTTCATTGTACAGGAATATACCTCCCCCATCACCAAGCATGTACACTGACTCCTGATTTGGAGCCTGATATTATCACCTAGGCTAGAAGCCCTTCAGATTCTCTCTCAGGCTTGACTTGAAGGGCTCTGAGGTCTCAATCTGGTTTGTATCTGGAGAGAAAACAGTGCTTCCGTGAAGTTCTGAAGTAGAGCACAACGTCCTTGATCTCTTTGCTAGGGAGGATGAACGGGTAAACTGGTGTGGTGACAATTGGTAAGAGAGAAATGAAATGGCACAGAGAAGGAAAGGAAACAGTAAAGGCATGAAAGAATGGAAAACATAAGCATATAATGTCTACAGTTTACCATTGATGTTTGTTTCTTTGGAGATTTAATTTTCTAAGTAGTATGCTTGTAGATTTAGAAAAAAATTCTCTGGGAAAAAAAGATAGATGTCTCCTTGCACGGGTTATAATTCTGGTGTTTTAGAAAGAAAAGATATTTCTTTTATTGGACCCTGGGAACTTATTTGATCTCCTAGAAAGCTGTCAAACCCCATGCAGAGAAGGAAAAGTATTTTTGTTTGTCTTTTGTTGTTGTTTACCTGAATAGAGTCTGAGAACACAGCACTGTTAGACTAAATTAGGAACTCCCTTTTTGCTGAGAAGAAATAAAAATGCTGAGTTTGTCAATGTAGTTGGTTATTTGTTTCTGCTTCTCAGCACAGACTTCTGTACTGCATGCTGAAATCTCACCATTACACTGACAGAATTTTAATATTGACCGACTGCACCAAATATCTACTCTACAGAGCAGTACGTTACATTGGAATGTCATGTGAATACACAATTGAAATTTCTGCCTGGCACTGTGGCTCACGCCTGTAATCCCAGCTCTTAGGGAGGCAGAGGCGGGAGGATAGCTTGAGCCCAGGAGTTCGAGACCTGCCTGGGCAATATAGCGAGACCCCGTTCTCCACAAAAAGGAAAAAAACAAAAAGACAAAAAAAAAAAAAAAAAAAAAAAGAAATTTCTGTGTTTCAATATGTTGGATATTTTGTTACATCTGCATTACTGATAAGGAGAAAAGATGATCATTTTTAAGAGGAAGCAGAGTTCCACTTTCTTAAACTTTATTCAAGCTCATTTGAAGCATAAATCTTCTGTTCTTGATATGGTTAGTGTTATATCATCTTAAGGAGAAAGGTCAGCTTTCATTTTGACTTAATTACAGATTGGTTATCTAATTACAGTATTCTAAGAAATGCAACATGCCTTATTGAATCAATACAGGATTTGTTGCCATGGCAACGAATGGCAAAAATGTTGCAAGCAAATAAAAATGCTAATTGTTATGATTAATAAACTCTAAGTATTCAGCTAAAGAGCCAATATAAACTGCTTCTCTACAACCAGGCTGTTTAAGAAGCCCAGAGCACTTACTTTGGTCATTCTTTGCCTATAAACATGTAAGACCTAGGGCCTAGTTTTGGAGTTGTATCCTTCAAATTTGTAGATGTGTTTTTTTGAGAAGGCATTATCACCAAATTTGCCTTAATTACTGTAGAAAATAGTCCTGGCTTTGCTATTGCTAAATGTAACTTCAAAATTCTACAGTAATTTTTCAAATATAATCTCATGTGACTTTAGTAAAAATAACTTTAAACAATGAAATGCAAGGCTTATAATTCAAAAGAAGTCTATAGAGTATAAAAGATTTTCCACCTACGATCCCCTCATTCATCATTTCTCTTCTCTGGAAATAAACAAAATCAGATATTCCTATCTGGTCAATTTTATATGCATATGAAAGTATATATGTGCATGTGTGTCAGTATGTATATAATTTTAATTTTTAATATAAACAATATTACTCTACAAATATTGTATCACACTTTATTTTTCCTCAATAATGTTCTGGATGTCAATAAATGTGAGTCACG